ATTAATCTGATGAGTTTCTCCCTGGAAGAGGATGGATGTAAAGAAAAAAGAAGAATATTAAATTATGGTTTGTGCAATACAAACTTTTCCCATTATATTTTGATGAGAAAGATAGTGATGTGGATGTCAGACAGCTCATAAATAGTTTATGAGGCATATGTCAACCCTTTGATGTTGATCCTTACTATTGTCGCTTGGCAATCCTGAGGACCATCAATTGGGCAAATTCAGTGGATCAGACTGAGTAGTACGTCTTGGTTCATGGTGCGACAAATGGAGCTTTCACACTGGAAACTAGATAGACAACTCACTTCGGCAGATCAATTTGGTAGACAAGTTTGATAAAGCAGTCCAACAAGTCAATCTGCTAGGTAGTCTCAATTAATCCCCTGAATAAATGAGTATGTGGATCGTGCCTGGAGATAAGGAATGAACCATGTGATTCCTCAGAGCTATATTTTTTGTAGCATGGGCTTAGAAGGATTATTTACTCTACCGTTTGACACATGATGACTAAAGATTCACATAGAGTAATGTGTGAGTTACAAAATATAAAATTGAATAAAAAAATAGAATTTATTGAATAGAAGATCGTTTTTTATTAAAGTCATCCACCTGTTGTCTCTATGAATAATAACCCCTTATGATAATAGAAGATCGCTTTTGATAAAGGCTGATCATTAAATACTGAATATTTAACATATAGTAGCAACAGACATATGGCTTCTAATTTGTAAAAATTATCACCTGAGCTTATAAAATAGATAGTAGGGAAAATGAAGATAGTATTATTACAATGTCTCTCCCATATATAAAAGTTGTTTGAGCATGAAGAATAATGGAATGGAGGATATGATCAAGTTTGCCTGCAATAAATTTTGAAATGACTTTGTATATGGTGTTAACAATAGAGAAATAAGTCTCTACCATCTATCTTTATAACATGGTTTCTTCTTTTTTACTTCAGCTGCTCTTTTTTGTTATCACCTGCAATATGCTCATCTATTGTGCTAAAATTTTATTTCCACACAGTTCCGATTTATTGCCTCTAAGGCTGTGAACTTAGCTGAAAATTTTTAATCATTCAAAAATTAATTCAAATTTTGGCTCATATTGAAATAAATCAGTCGAGCTACAAGCCAAATTTTGGATTGAATATTCTTTTCGAGCTGATTTTGAGCCAATCCCACCTTGACTCGAAATTGGACAATTAACAGCTTTAGTAATGTTAGGGCTATGAATTTAGCGAATTTAGCTCGGAAAATGTTACTCGCTTGAAAATTGATTTGAATTTTGGCTCGAATCGAGATCAAATCAAAATAAAAAAGTCGAGCTATAAGCCAAAATTTTGGATTGAATTTTTTTTAAGCTACGTGTCACGCTCCGCCATATTTAACAAGTTGGCAAGAAAATCATAAGATGAAAGATCTAGAAAAGGGCGGATAGATGAGTGCAATCCAAGAAACTCTAGAAAACTCCATCATATTATAGAGAAGCTTAGAAGGAAAAGCTCCAAGGATAATTCAAGAATAACCTAGAAGGTTCGAGAGTCATGTATAAGAATTGTATAAAACAATCTAGAAATAAGAATAATCTAATGTATATTGAAAAATTCACTTGGGCTTGGAGGAGAGTATAAATAGAAGTCCCTCCCTTCATTTATATCCATCCAAGAAAGGAACCAAGGAAACCATCCAAGTAAAGCTTCCAAGCTTTCAAGTGTTGTAACTCTTCTCGCTTAGTAAAGTGTTCTTTTCTCCGATACTTCTCTCTACTCCTCTTAGTGTTTTTGTGCTTACAAGTACAGATGTTGTGAGAGATATTAGATTGATTTAGTGCTAAATAAGAGTGCTAAAACCGCACGAGTGACTTGGAAAAAATTAGTCCGTGAAATACAGCTCAAAATCGGATCATTAACAGCCATAATTTGTTTCCAGACCTCCGCCTTCATTAGGCTTATGATTTCAACAATGCATTGAATGTCAATGCTTTGGACCAAGTCCATGTAGTTTCTTATTCTTTTATCTTCTATTTATTTTATCGGCGCATATAATTTGGGTTCATTTGATCTTATCGAGCATATAGCCCCATTTGCTATTGTTTTACTTACAGTGAAATGAATTTGGGCAAAGCCCTCAATATTCAAAATAATAATAATAAACTAACTAAATTTTGAAAATACAAAGTAAAATTTATAATTACCTAACCAGATTTCGAAGTTCAAAATTTTCAATTTATTAATAACTTCATTGCAAAGTAAAATTACGAAAAACTAAATTATGCATATAATTATATGTATGCGAAAGCGAAAATTTAAGAACTCCGACAATGACATCTTATGGCTTTAGACGAGAGAAACCGGATCCTGCAAATAATTGAAACCTACCTGCATCAAATCAAGCGGGTCCTGCTTCCATGGTGTCGATCCGCTGCATCCGGAGAAAAGCGTCCGTTCGAATTTTACCAAACAAAACAACGGCACTAACGCGTTTTCACTTTTTTATGAAAAAGTACCCCCTTGATTTGGGAAAAAATTTGAGTAAATAAAACTTACGCAGAGCTGTAATCTACAAATAGATTACAGGGAGGATATTCATAAGTTATAACAGCATTATAGCACCTGTAACCTCCCTGTAACCTACCTATATATGAAAAATGAAAAAGCCCACTCTAGATTTGGGAAAAAAATTTGCGTACATAAGATGTACGCAGAGCTGCGTACATTTGTAACCTACAAATAGATTACAGGGAGGATATTCGGATGTTATAACGGCGTTATAACCCCTGTAACCTCCCTGTAACCTACCTACATATGAAAAAAG